ACCGTTCTCGATGTCCACCGAAACCAATTCAGTGGTCAAGCCGTTCCTGATCTCTGCCGGAATCCAGCCTGCGATCAAGCCTTTCCTGATGTCCGCCGGAACCAATCCGGTGGTCAAACCATTCTTGATGTCCACTGCAACCTGTCCGGTGGTCAAGCCATTAATGATATCCACTGGAACTCGTCCGGTCACCAAGCCGTTCCTGATGTCCGCCGGAATCAAAGCGGTAATCAAGCCTTTCCTGATGTCCACCGGAACCCGTCCGGTGTTCAAGCCGTTCCAAATGTCTACTGGAACCCGTCTGGTGGTCACGACCTTCATGATGTCCACTGGAACTCGTCCGGTGTCCAAGCAATTCCCGATGACCCTTAGAATTCATCAGGTAAACAAGCCGTTACCGATGTCAACAGGAGACCATTCGGTGTTGTATTTTCCGATGCCAACTCGAAATCATCAGGTGCTAAAGCTATTCCCGATGTCTGCCGGAACCCGGCCCGTGTTCAAGATGTTTCCGATGTCTACTGGAAACCGTTCGGTATTCATGCGGTACCCGAAGCCAATGGAAAAGTATCCGGTGTTCAAGCGGTTTCTGATGCCAACCGAAAACTGTCCGATGTTCAAGCCGGTCCCGATGTCAGCTGGAATTCACTCAAGGCCAGTTCTGGAGCCAAGTGCACTCGTTCCGTTACCGACGTCTGAGAAACAACAAATAAGAGATCCACCAGACAAGCCAAGCTCAGCTAATCCTGTACCGAAGATGCCCTATCCTGATTCCAATGATATCGTTCCAATACCAAAGCCTGAGGAGCCACCGCCACAGGATCTTTCTATTCGACATCGAGCCAGCAAGCTCAGACTGAGAACACTACTTTGCGCCGCTCACCTGCTAACCCGGTTAGTACAGAAGGTATTACCAGTCCTGGATATGGAGTTCCGAGAAATTGTGCTATGGTGCGAAAGTACGATAGTGCTGGCCTGGATCAACAAACCGCTCAACCAACTACAGTCATTTGGAAGAAACCGGAACGCTGTGATCCAGAAACAAATCGATATCGTGTCTTGGTGGAGTGGTCCTGACTTCCTCCAGAGAGAAAGGTACAACATCGAACTACCCGAAAATGTTCCAGACCAGATGCTACCTGCACTGAAAGCAGTTATCGTCAACCCAGATGACCCAGTAGACCTGAAGAAAAAGCAGCCCTTAATCATCCCGCAACCACGCCAGGCAACCGAAACTATCACCCAAGTGGTTCAGTTTGTCCATTTGGCGGAAGACATTCAGCGAGTTGTTACCCACGACCCTTGCAAGAAATTGGCAAACCTGCATCCGATCTACACTGATGGCCTGGAAGCGTTATACGATCTGAGCACCGATGCCTTCCTGGCATTCTTCAAGCGTTTCATTGAACAACGAGGTAGCAGCAGCAGCATTCGGATAATTGTACTATTTTCCAAAGTACCCACCCAGAAATTATCCTACTACACAGGAAGAAGAACCTACGAACCATGCCGATCATCCGTGAAACCCTGATACCGACACCCAATCCGCAATTCTAGACAATCGTTGTTAATCGTTGAGTTACCTCAACCGGGGGAGTATGTTCCGTCTCCGCCGAAAGTCAACTGATACGAACACGACCAACAAGCAGCGAAGAACGAGACCATCAATAGGCTACAACATCCACCAATCAGCGACGACCACATCAACGCTCGCCGCTTTAAAAGAGGCATGCATCACCGTGCAAAACAAGAGTTCTTTTCCGACCAAGCACCAGCAAACATCAGCAGCAGTAGAAGCAGAATTTGTAGAGAGAAAGAGGAGAGAATAAACAGTTGTTAGCGTAGCCGTCCCGATCAAGTTTATTTTGCACACATCCCTGGTTTGGAGCAGCGTCGAACCCACCAGCTCTTTTCAGAGCCCTTACGAGTTGATTTCCGATCGACGCTTGCTTCCTCCACCACCCTGCCGATACAGTCCACTACCAAAAGGGAAAGTTCCCTCCCAGTCCGAACAGCGAGTTTAAAAAAATGAATTAAAATTATTCCACATCAAAGCTAAAACGCAAACTAAATGTACACTCTCTGTTTTATATATTGTCTTGTAGTTTGTTACAACACAAACCTTTATTTTGAAGCTAAGTCGCATTGATACATTGTTATTTTTTCAGATATGACGCTATTCAAATGACAAAATATTCAGCTTTCTGCGACATGGCGACATGGTTAATCAAACAATAAGAAAGGGAAACTAATATTGAAGGGTTATTAGTTTCGCTTTCTTATTGTTCATCAGTTCATAAATCAGAAATTCGAACATCTGAACATCAAAAGTTCTTTCAAAATTATCGATGATAGGTAACCCTAATAAAAATACCATAAACGAACGATAATCCAAATGACTGAACTTTTCCACAAATGGTTTGGATGATACCCCAAACACGTCGTAAGGCAAATTAACCTTAACATTTTTATTAGGGAATACAATAATAACTTATTATTTAACCGTTATCCGTTTGAAAAACGGAATTAATAAATATAATAAAACGTGAAACGTATTTTCCACTTATTTCAAAAATCTGTGTATTTTCTAAAAATCTGTAATCTTTACATACAGATATCTGTATCAAAATATAGAGAAAAATCTGTATGATTACAGATAAATCTGTATATGTGACAACACTGGTTTTCACTGAGAATGGTCTTCTTCCATGCCCAGATAAAGTGGAAACTATTCGTGAAGCACAAACTCCGTGAAATGTTAATGAATTGAAAGCATGGCAAATGTTAATGAATTGAAAGTATGGTCTTGGTGGAGTGTTTGCGCATCTCGTGAACGGGGAGTTTACTTTCATCGATCATTTTAACACAATTATTATCATGCTTGGTTTCATAAAACGTTTCTACATTGCTTATGTGAGGTTTATATTAGAATATTGAAGCATAGTTTGGTCTCCTTTTTCAATCACACACGAAGGAAGAATAGAGTCCGTTCAAAAGCAGTTTCTATTGTATGCACTCCGCAAGTTAGGTTGGACTGTATTTACTCTGCCATCTTACACAGCTCGATGTATGCACTAGGTACTGCGATCTCGGACCAAAGAAATGACTGGTTTGACGGTGAATTCAAACTGTTAGTAGAGGAGAAGAATGCAGCACGGGCGAAAATGCTGCAACACCGCACGAAATTGAATGTGGAGCGATACAGACAAGTGCGGAATAGACAATACTCGGTTTTCCGAAGAAAGAAGCCTCAGCAGGAAGACCGAGATCGCGACGCGATGAAAAATCTGTACCGTGTAAACGATACACGAAAGTTCTACGAGAAGCTAAATAGTTCGCGCAAAGGCTACGTGCCGCAAGCCGATATATGCAATGACTTGGACGGTTACCTTCTAACCGTTAGAAGACGTGATAAGAAGAGCTGGGATAGACACGAGTGGTACGATCTTCAGGAAGTCCATCCAGCTTCTTGGTTTCGCAAATGACATCGACATCATGGCACGGAACTTTGGCGGAAACGTACATCAACAATGGAGGAAACGTACTTCAGGCTGAAAGCTGAAGCTAGGTGGATTGGACTTGCCATCAACGTATCAAAGACAGAATACATGAAAGGAAGAGGTGAAGACAATGTTAGCCTCCCACCCCGAGTTCAGATTGACGGTGTCGAAATCGGGGTGGTCGAGTAGGTGTATTTGGGCTCACTGGTGACCGCCAAAAATGATACCAGCAGAGAAGTTCAAAGACGCATTATGGCAGGGAATCGTGCATGCTTTGGACTCCGGAGGACGCTCCGGTCGAATAAAATTCGCCGCCGCACGAAGTTGACTATCTACAAGACGCTGATTAGACCGGTGGTCCAATACGGCAACGAGACCTGGACTATGATGTTTAGTGGTATTTGTATTTCATTGACATTGCATTATCTTTTTACACGAATGTTATGGTAGAGTGACGTCGTCACTTGAGTGCTCAGCAATGTTTACAAATTTTTGCTTCTAAAACCAGCAAGCTGCTTGTTGGCTCGGACCTTATATAAACGTCATTGTGGGTATAAGGGGCTGCTCATAATCTACGTAGACCGATTTTAAGAGGTTTTTGACCCCCCATCTCCCCGCGTAAACAATCGTCCATACATTTTTTTTAGAAATTTGTATGGCATAGACCCCCTCCCCTCCCTAAAGAGTATACGTAGTTTATGAACAGCCCCATAGAACATCAGGTGCACTCGAATTATGGAACGAACTTCAATTATGCTAATCATGAACTGAACTAACTTCAGTTGCTCAAGCAGGAACAAGAAAGCAACGAAATCGAATCGTTTTGTCAAGCCAGAAGAATTGAATGAGACTTCGTTCTGCCTGATGCTCCTGAATGCGATATTTGAGAGGCCGCTGTGAAAAGCACTAAGACCCATTTGAAAGCTATCTTTGGAAACATGTCGCCGAATTATGTGCAATATGCTATCATACTAGCAGAAATCTTAGCGATCCGGAACTCACATCAGCTATTCGTGAAAATAGCAGATCTCAACGGTCTAGAAGTGATATCGCCCGCTCACTATCTCATTGGACGTCTTCTCACTGCAATTCCAAAACAGTCCTTTGATGATGTCTAAGAAAACCGTTTGAAAAAAACGACAGCATCTGCAGAAGTTGGGTGAAATGAAAACGATACTACCTTAGCAGCTTGTAACTTAAAGAGAAGAACTAGATACTTATCTCCAACAAGAAACCTGGAATGATTGCCCTGATACACAATAGAACCATGTAACCGTTATAAATTAATTATCGACAAGAAAACTGTGATAAAGATAGCCTTGTAACATATTATAACTCCCTAGTCTGAACATAGCATTACCCTCTCACTTTGGCATATTCCCGAAGAAGTGTTACAGTCCCGGACGGGACAAGAGCCGTTCGAGCTAATAAAATAAAATAAAAATATATCCGTAAATCAAAATGCTTTATAAACAACAGTTAATTTACCAATTCTTTCAGCATCATCACCGGCTCCTCCAGTAAGATGGTATTCAAATCCCAAATCAGCGAACGCCATTGGACAACATGTAAAAGGGAAACAACTTAGACAAAACAATAACGGTAAGACTCGATACACTTTTTAATGTAGAGCGCCCACTCGAGGGATACCTAAATCCAATTGCGAAAACACTGTCGGTTCTAATCAGGCCTGTTATGGGGCGCAGACATTTCGATCTACATACGCTCCTCTAATCCAGGCTGCACCAAAATGCATATGGAAATGTTTGAACGCCCATCTAGATCACTATGCGCTCATATGAGAGTCGGGTCGAGTTTTACGTCTTGGAAAAAGTTTATCTACAAGATAAGATCTTCCTTTTGGCCACGGTGGTAACTAGGATGGTCCTCTTTTTTTTAGAATAAAAACTCGTAACTTTTTATTTATATATTTAAGGGGAATACTTGCTTCTACAGTGTCAGATAATTTAATGTCAAGCAACTTTGTCCCAGACATCAAAATTCTATCTCATCAACACAGTCTAGAGTCACAGTCACATCAACAGTTCTAGAGTTGGTTGGAAATGCTAACATGAAACTTTAGTGTGATAATTTATTAGCTAGAGAATGATCATTTAGAAGAGAGTAGGTGGATTGTTCCGTTAGAGTACGGCAGTATGAAAATTGAAATGAGCGAAGGGCCATTAATGCGACAGTTTTTAAAGTTAGACGCACATCTTTTGCCTAACCCGTACGATGTACGCGGAGACTTGAAGTATGTCTCCAAGTCTACAGGCAAAAAAATGTGCGTCCTTCTTTTGCTCATAAACTGACCGCGGCTGTGGAATAGTTCTAGTGACGTTTTCATCACTACCTAAAGCCCCACGTTGCGAGAGCATTTCCAGTCGATGGTGTGTTATAATTACAATTCTTCTTTACCCAACTATTGTGTTGTTCCTCTCGTCCTAGTTCTATACAAGTTTTTCTAAATTCAGATAGGGTGGTTCTGGAAAAAAAAACAGTTTTTTGCCCTAACTTTTTTTTTCTGTTCTATTTTGAGAGCCATTTTCAAGAACTTCAAGATCATGAGAGGACGCATTTTTTTTTTGGGGGATTGCTGGATGTTGTTTTACGAAAGTTTTTCCTGTTTTTTGTGGAAAAGTTCATTTTTCCAGGACACTTTCCTCCAAAAGGAGCAAATATGAGCAAAACTTCTACGCATATTCTGAAAGCACATGGTTCTGCCCACAAAATCTAAAGAATATTATCTGTACCCTTTTGTACCCTTGATGAGAAAAAGATGATTGGAACTAGAGATAACATTTTTTAAAAAGGGCCAAAAGCACGCCTTCAGGGCTGTTGTCGTTGTCGTAGGCTCCGTCGTAGTCGTAGGCAGTACCGTTAGTATATTTAAAATCAACCACCAACCGCTGAAAATATGAATTATCGCGTATTTCTGTTTACATTTAACTATAACTTTAAACTTAATACCTGTCTTTTACTGGTTCCCTAATAATGTTGTAACTGTATCTCGTCAGTTTTGCAATCACTAAAATGGACAACGCCTTCTCAGGTGTGATTTGAATGTTTTGGTTGTTGAGTTCAATAGCCTGTTTAATTAAATCTGCTGCTTTGTAATTGTGGTCGGCACGCAAACTCATTTTTGCAGCAAAGCATAATTGATATGATAAATATGTTGCTCTAATTTCCTCAGTACGGCGCGGCTTCGATCGATCACTGCATTCTTCAAAAGCTAGCTGCTAAGATGGTGGTATTGTATATACATTCCTCTAACCAATCTAAATGTTCCTTGTCAAAGCGCTTCCGTTAGGATTGTAAAATTTTTCTGTTGAATGCTTTCCAAAAAATCTCAATCTCAATTATTCGCATTCGGAGGAAAGCATTTTTCTGCGGCTGCACAGTGGGACGAATTCAAAAAAAGTGGGACATGGCTATTTGCGACGAAACTATTGAGTATAGCTTTTTTTTGTCTTCTAGAATGTTTCTTTATTTTTTAAGTACTTTATTTAAGTAGTAAAAATTTTTGGTTAAGGAGGGTATACACTCAGATAAAAAAAAATAACTTTTTTATGTCTTGTTAAATTTGATGAACACCTATGGAAACATTAAAGATGAAGTCTTTTTAAGAAACTTTGTCCAAGGTGTAAACTTTCTATCTCTCAAGTGGACGAAGTTAGAGGGTGAAAATGGACTACAAACGGTAGTACCCCCTTAAAAAACGTTTTTTCACCATAACTTTTTTCTTTGAATTTTCTCGTTTATTAAATATTCTACAAAGCTGTAAGTGCTTAGAAAATGCACATTTTTGCATAAGACAATAAATCGCTATATCTTTGTTGAAAAGATTTACGCCAGTTTTAACAATTTTTTTAAACTAACTCTAAGGGGGTGTACCTTCACGCAGAAAAAATATTTTAAACGTAATAATATTTGACGTAAAATCAATAAGAATTTCATTTTGTTTTGGCTGCAAAAAGAAATCATTATTGTTTCAACTGTTAATCTGTTTCAAATCTGTTAGAATTTACAAAAGCTTTCATGGTTTTGACGTAAACTTTCAAATTTGGCAGCTGGGTCAACAACAAAAATATGTTTGTTTTTAAAAGAGATTTCTGGTTGATTCAATCATATTTATTTTATAAAGTCTGACAATTCACGCAGTAGAAATAAAAATATGTTTATTGATGCAAAAATAATCTGGCAATTTTTTTTTATGTTTCGTTTTCTTTTTGAAACAAAATTGCAGAAATTGCAATTGAATTTTTGAGGCATAAAATAAAAGCCCCCGGTTCATGAGTTGATGGGTCGATATGTAGGGTCCAGATGTGGGGGCTGCCTTCCTGGCGTCGGGAGCATTGGTACTCGTCAGTACGGAAAACATGATCGACGGAAAAAAATCAAGGAAAAAAAACAGAAACATTGATTATATTTATCAACTGCAGCTCGAATTGCAGCATACTTACTTACCTCAAGTCTCAAGATTTTCGAAAATCTTGCACTTATTTCCCGAAATTCACAATTAAAAACAATACTTACGAGGAACGCGGAAGTATTGTTATTGTTTACATTTTTGTCCGGGTGAAAACGAGGGAATCGTTGGTAGCTATTTTTGCTTTCATGACCCAGAAAATGAACACAGCAAATAAATGCTAAATTAAAATTAACTATTGTTGGCTTAATAATAGAATATTGTTATTTTTACAATAGTTGCAATTGAAAAGTGGCTGATTAAAACAAAAAGAATCCTATTTTGAATTTATATGAATAAGTATTATTGAAACAACAAAATGCAATATAATTTCAACCGGAATTGTTTGCTTAAATACAGTTAAAGTTTTTTTTTTGGTTCAATGCAAACAATTTTCTGTCCGTGTACTGCTTGCAGGTTAGCAGGTATTAGCAGCTAAAAACAACGTCATTTCATTCAGCAACTTATACCCTACTGTTTCATATAATGTTCACTACTTAAATAAAGTACTTAAAAAATAAAGAAACATTCTAGAAGACAACAAAAAGCTATACTCAATAGTTTCGTCGCAAATAGCCATGTCCCACTTTTTTTGAATTCGTCCCACTGTGGGCTACTTTGATCTTTTCTAGCGATTCTTGATGTTTCGTGTGTCGTAAATCTGTTTTCTTTTTAGTCCGTTTCCTTTAGATTAAATGAAAACGAAACGATTTTTATAACGGTATTGAAAAGATACTACGAAATGCTAGAGCACTATTTCACGACATAAAATTTAAAGAAATTTAAATTGCATCTAGATGAACGCGGCATTGGGACGGTACTTATGGATATTTTTGGTCGTTATTGAAAATTTAGTCGATTGCTGAATTTATGTATGGGCCCAAATTAGGGGCATTTAGGCCGACACTACATCCATTTCCCCTAGTGGAAATCAGATAAAATTAGCAAAAAATTAGTCGAACAAGCCATTACTCCCACTTCCACCAGTGCACCTTATGTTTTGTCAGGTAATGTACATGTTTACTATCTGTTTGTTTTACAGGCCCTGACAATGAAGACAACAATCGTCGAAAACAAGCTTCTTTCGATGGTGAACTTACAGCTTCCGAAGTGGGTAAATATCTTCATTGTAATCCAATGTTTTTGGATACGTTTATCATGGATGAAATTCAAGTTGAGCAGTTGGAAAAGTGGATGATACGCAAAACCCAACGTTTGAGGAAAGCGCCACAATCTTTTGGTAAAAATTACAAAAAAACCAGTCATAGTCGGTGGAAATTTTGCGTACACGCGGATAAGCGAGAGATGTTACAAGATCTCATACATTCACTACAGCTAATACCTACTAAAATGCACATGCTCTGGGAGCTGGCGTCCTGTATCTGCTCTGCCGTCAACGCTGATGGATTTCGATTATATTTGAAGGATGAATCGGATGTCAAATCATTACATCTTTGTCTGAGCAATAGTTTCTTTGACGAAAATGGAGATCCGAAACTACTTAGAATTAAATCGGATGCAGCAATACCGAATTATGTTGCAAAAACTAGAGAATCTATTCGTTTCTCTAAGGGAAACAATGACTACCGATTTGCAAAAGATGTGCTAGACAAGGTATAGTATATGTTGTATGCTGCAAGGAAACATTGACTACCGATTTGCAAAAGATGTGCTAGACAAGGTATAGTATATGTTGTATGCTGCAAAAAAAAAAAAAAAAAAAAGTTCTACATTTCAGGGTGAAATGGCACATGTGATGTGTCAACCAATTGTTTATCCAGACGGATCCTTGATGGCTGTTTTAGAACTATGGCGCGGTGACTGTGGTTTTTCTTTTTATGAAGAGGATGAAGAAATCGGCTACAGCTATTTAGTTTGGGGTGGCATTGCGATCCATTATGCACATCTTAATTTAGTCGGACTTAAACAAAGAAAGCTCAATGATTTTTTATTGGCAGTTGTTAAGTCCATATTTCAAGATATGGTTAGCATGGATTTGCTAGTATCAAAAGTTATGAACTTTGCACAGCGGCTGGTCGATGCAGATCGTGCTTCATTGTTTCTAGTGGATTCCAGAAGCAAAGAGTTATATGCTACGATTTTTGATGTAGGGCGTGAAGATACAACTATAAAGAATGAAAATGAGAACGACCAAAACAAGCCACCAACTGAAATAAGATTTCCTTTAGAAACTGGCATAGCTGGACAAGTTGCCATGACCGGTGAAATATTAAATATAATGGACGCATATGCAGACCCGAGGTTTAATCGAACGATTGACCAATTGACGGGGTATAAAACTAAATCAATACTATGCATGCCAATATTCATCCGAGGTAACGTAATCGGAGTTGTTCAAATGGTAAATAAACACACGGGATACTTCAACAAGGAGGACGAAGAAGCTTTTGAAATGTTTGCAGTGTATTGTGGTCTAGGTGAGTAAATCAAATATAAAACAGTATATTTTCATAATAGACAAATATTCTGAACAGCACTGCATCATGCAAAACTATACGATAAAATTCGCAGATCTGAGCAGAAGTATCGTGTAGCTCTTGAAGTATTGAGTTACCATAATACGTGTACCGAACAAGAAGTAGAAAAGTGTCTGGAAGTAGGCATTCCTCAGAAAATATCAGGCATCGATAGTTACGATTTTAGTCCATTTGTAGTAGATGAATTCCAGAAGGTCATATATAGTGTGTATATGTTCAAGGATCTATTTGGCCTAGGCAGGTTTGACAAGAATAGCCTTATACGATTTACATTGACGGTGAAGAAAAACTACAGACGAGTTCCATATCACAATTGGACACATGGATTTTCAGTGGCCAACACAATGTACAGTATTATAAAGAATTGTCCGAGTGTGTTCCGAGCTAATGAGGTATGTAAATATGTTAGCATGATTTTTGAGCGTTCACGAACAATGAAAATAAGAACAGAAGGTTCGAAAACAACTTTTTCAACAGTAACTATTGAGCAGTTCCACGCCAAATGATTCCGAAAAACTCAACCTTCTCCGATTTGCATAAAACTTTGTATAATTGTTTGTTATGGGCAATGATTAACATTTTTGCAGAAATTCGGCCATTTTGAATCTTGTAAAATTTTCAAAACGACGTCCCAGAAATGTTTCTCAGAAACGGCATTTCTGATCGAATTGACGTCTGTGACAAAATTACAGAGAAAAAAAAATTTTTTTTTTCGAGGAAAAATAACCAGACAAATATTTCTAGTAATTTAAAGTAAACTTTTAAAATAAAATTAATAATCTAAATATCTCAAAATGTATAAGCCCAATTTATGAATATTTAAAAAAAAGCTTATTCAAAATGAAAACTATTGATAGGTTTGAAATTATTGACACTGAAAAATGTGAAAAAATACACAAAAAAGCGAACAAAAAAAAAGCTTAAAAATATGACTGGGAACCTTCAGTCGGCGCCGCCGCGATTTTTTAGGTTTAACATCTCTGATCACGCCTACCTTCGCAAGAGAAGTAAAGCCGTTTTTCCCCGGTCAACCGGGGACCAACGGCTTCACTTCCCTTCCGAAGGAAGGCGTGATCAGAGATGTTATGCCTCAGAACATCCCGGCGGCGCAGACTGGGATTGAACCCATGCCGGCTGGGGTGAGGAGTAATCACGCTTACCACTACACCACTGGTGCCGCTATCCAAATACATTTGACGATCTACATTTTTCTGTACCTCATTTCATGACAACAACAATGATATAAATAACAGTAGGCACATATACCTTGCGTCTGATCATAAGAGATAAAATAATACGAAAAAATGGTTGATTTTTGTGGTTTTTTAGTCCAACTTTTTGACATGACAACACAGAAAAAATGTGTTTACATGTAAGTTTTTCTAAGAATTTTAGTAAAAACCTGTTGTTTTTATATTTGCAAAACGTATTTTTACGTTATAAATAAACATAAAAAAATGAAAAAAAAAAACATCAAATTTTATCAATGAAATATTTTAAATCTTACAGATTATGAAACTAGAGGTTCCAAACTATCATCTAATGAAATACAATTTTAGGTACATTCACTTTGAATAAAAGTTCGTAGAATATCTCTTTGTAATGTGGCTTATAAAGTATATGGTAAATGGATAGGTAACCAGTTTCGAAAATTCACAGGAGATCCAGGGTTCTATCACGCAGCATTTACAAGAAGTAGATCAACAGATGATCATATATTCATTGCTAGACGAGTCATGGAAGAATATTGGAATGCAGGGAAAGATCTAATTGTTTTAGCGTTGGATATCAGTAAGGCATTTGATAAAGTAAATGTGCAGAGCCTAAGAGAAGTTTTACTTAATTTAAATGTTCCATCTAGATTAGTTGACAGGGTGTTATTATGTGTTAAGGATGAACTCACTAGAGTTTTATGGCAAAACCAGTTTTCTAAAGAGTTCAAAAGAGGTTAACTTTTCAATTATTTAATACAAGATGTTCTTAAAAACGTGGCAAGAGATATTCCTGAATTATAATTGATAGATATAGATTGCTTAAAATTGCCGATAATTTTAGCATTTGCCGATGATATATTAATAATAGCAAGAAGTATAAATGAGTTAGAGAATATTCTTAAAGTCCTAGAAGAGGAGCTATCCAAAGAAGGTCTTAAAATCAATAGGGAGAGAAGTCAAATTTTAGTTAGATACCCAAATGACATAGCAGTACAGCCAAACGAATTAATGCTTAATGGAACTGCTTTTAAAACTTGTGAATATATTAAATATTTAGGAGTTTGTCTGACAGCAACCCTAAACAAGGAATTATGAAAGCTTATATATAAAACAGTTTTGTCGCCAGCGTTATTATACGGAACTAACTTACTTACTTACCAATCAGGCTAAGGCCTTGTTGTCCTCTGCTGTCCGAAGAAGTCGTCTCCACTCTACTCGATCCATGGCCACAGTTCGCCAGCCTCGTAGTCTGCGAAGGGTCCGCAGGTCACCTTCTACTTGGTCGATCCACCTTGCCCGCTGCGCGCCTCTTCTTCTTGTTCCTGTTGGGTCGCTTTCTAGAACCATTTTCACTGGGTCGTCGTGCGGCATTCTTACGACGTGCCCAGCCCACCGTAGTCGCCCAATTTTTGCAATGTGGACGATGGATGGTTCTCCCAGCAGCTGGTGCAATTCGTGGTTCATTCGCCTCCTCCACGTTCCGTCATCCATCTGCACTCCACCGTAGATGGTACGCAACACCTTCCGTTCGAAAACACCAAGGGCGCGTTGGTCCTCCGGCGAATTTTATTCGACCGGAGCGTCCTCCGGAGTCCAAAGTAGGCACGATTCCCTGCCATAATGCGTCTTTGAATTTCTCTGCTGGTATCATTTTCGGCGGTCACCAGTGAGCCCAAATACACGAACTCATCGACCACCTCGATTTCGTCACCGTCAATCTGAACTCGGGGTGGGAGGCTAACATTGTCTTCCCTAGAACCTCTTGCTTTCATATATTTTGTCTTTGATGCGTTGATGGCAAGTCCAATCCGTCTAGCTTCAGCCTTCAGTCTGATGTACGTTTCCGCCATCATCTCAAAGTTCCGTGCCATAATGTCAATGTCATCGGCGAAACCAAGGAGCTGGATGGACTTCCTGAATATCGTGCCACTCGTGTCTATCCCAGCTCTTCTGATCACACCTTCTAACGCGATGTTGAACAGCAGACACGAAAGTCCATCACCCTGCCGTAACCCCCTTCGAGATTCAAAGGGACTCGAGAGTGTCCCCGATACTCGAACAACGCACGTCACTCGATCCATCGTCGCCTTGACCAATCGCGTCAGTTTATCCGGAAATCCGTACTCGTGCATAATCTGCCATAGCTGATCTCGATCGATTGTGTCGTATGCGGATTTGAAATCGATGAACAAATGATGTGTGGGCACGTTGTATTCGCGGCATTTCTGCAGAACCTGCCGAATCGCGAAAATTTGGTCCGTGGTAGCGCGGGCACCCATGAATCCCGCCTGGTATTGCCCCACGAACTCTCTTGCATATGGTGACAGACGGCGGCATAGAATTTGGGAGAGTACCTTGTAGGCGGCGCTCAGCAGTGTGATCGCGCGGTAGTTGCAGCAATCCAACTTGTCGCCCTTTTTGTAGATTGGGCATACGACACCTTCCATCCACTCCTCCGGTAATATCTCCTCCTCCCAAATCTTGGCAATTACCCAGTGCAGCGCTCTAGCCAGTGCTTCACCACCGTATTTCAATAGCTCACTTGGTAGTTGATCTACACCAGTTGCTTTGTTGTTCTTCAGCCGACCGATCTCCTCCTCAACTTCTTGAAGATCAGGGGCCGGTAGCCTGTCGTCTTCTGCGCGTGCTCCAAGGTCTGTTACCGTGCCACCTTCGTTTTCTGCTGCTTCACCGTTGAGGTGCTCGTCATAGTACTGCTTCCACCTCTCAATCACCTCACACTCGTTCGTGAGAAGGTTACCGTCCAAGTCCTTGCACATATCGGCTTGCGGCACGTAGCCTTTGCGCGAACTATTTAGCTTCTCGTAGAACTTCCGTGTGTCGTTTACGCGGTACAGATTTTCCATCGCCTCGCGATCTCGATCTTCCTGCTGACGCTTCTTCCTTCGGAAAACCGAGTTTTGTCTGTTCCGCGCTTGTCTGTATCGCTCCACATTCAATCTCGTGCGGTGTTGCAGCATTCTCGCCCGTGCTGCATTCTTCTCCTCTACTAACAGTTTGCATTCGCCGTCAAACCAGTCATTTCTTCGGTCCGGGATTGCAGTACCTAGTGCCGCTACAGCAGTACTACCTATGGCTGAACGGATGCCCCTCCAGCCATCTTCAAGAGAAGCTGCGCCAAGCTGCTCTTCCGTGGGTAGTGCAACTTCCAGCTGCTGCGCGTAGTCCTGGGCAACTCCGGTGTCCCGTAGTTGCTCAATGTTGGGTCGTGGCGTTCGACTTCGACGTGTGTTATGCACCGTCGAGAGTTTTGAGCGCATGCATACTGCAACTAGGTAGTGGTCCGAATCTATGTTCGCACTGCGGTACGTGCGGACGTTGATAATGTCGGAGAAGAATTTCCCGTCGATTAGAACGTGATCGATTTGGTTTTCTGTGTGTTGGTTAGGTGATCTCCAGGTGGCTTTGTGGATATCCTTGCGGGGGAAAAAGGTACTTCGAACTACCATACCCCGGGAGGCTGCAAAGCTCACGCATCGTTGGCCGTTGTCGTTCGATACGGCATGCAGGCTGTTTGGCCCGATTGCCGGTCTATACATTGCCTCCCGTCCTACCTGAGCGTTCATGTCGCCGATGACGATTTTGACGTCCCGTTGCGAACAGCCGTCGCACACCTGCTCCAGCTGCGCATAGAACGCTTCTTTCTCGTCGTCGGGTCTCCCTTCGTGTGGGCAGTGCACGTTGATGATGCTGTAGTTGAAGAAACGGCCCTTAATCCTCAACTTGCACATCCTCGCGTTGATCGGCTGCCAACCAATCACGCGTTGGCGCATCTTACCCAGCACTACAAAGCCGGTTCCCAGCTCGTTGGTGGTGCCACAGCTCTGGTAGAAAGTAGCCGCTCGATGCCAGCTTTTCCATACCTTTTGTCCCGTCCAGCAAAGTTCCTGCAGTGCTACGACTTCGAAGTTGCGTGGTTGAAGTTCGTCATAGATTAACCTATCGCAACCCGGGAAGCCGAGCGATTTGCAGTTCCATGTTCCGAGTTTCCAATCGTAGTCCTTATTTCGTCGCGTAGGTCTGTGCCGATTGTTCCGATCCGTATTTCTTTCTTCGGTATTTGCAACTTTGTTTTTTTTCCAGGGCGGCTTGTTGGGCCTGCCCCAACCCCCTGTCTCGCCGGGGGACCATCGTGCACAGCTCTGTTTAGAGTCCCA